TTTTTTTTTTTTAATTAAAATAAAATTGCAAGTGTCAATAACTAGGCCAGTGTCAATAACTGGGTCTTTTATCTTATATTTTAATAAGAATTTTCGGAGAACATACAATTTTTATTTCCATTAAAATCTTTAAGAATAATAAAAAAAAATTTTCTTTGCAAATTTTTATTATCATTACATTAAAATTCTCCATCAAATAAAATAATTAGAAGAAAAAAATGTTAATTTTTTAATATATGCCAAAAAAAAAAAGAAAAATATTTAACTGTAAAAGTAAATAATTATTAAAAGTAGGAATAATAATAATCAATACATAATTACTGAAAATAATGTCTTTATTATCATTTTTTACACAAAAATATAAATTAAAAAAATTTTTATTAAAACCTTTGGTAAAAAATGCTGAAAAAAATTAAAAAAAAAAATAAGTAAAAAAAAAAAACACTTACCTCATTGAAAAAATGTACGATTGACCATTGCGAAGACACATGGACATTCTTTCTCGCCCAGGCCAAACGGTTTACCAGAAATTAATGAAAACGAAAGACAACAATTAATACAATAAAAAAAAACCTAAATCGAAAAAAAAAATTATTAAATTATAAGAAAAAAAAAATATTAAACAATTACAGTTAAAAAAAAAATTAACCCTCAAAGTCTGGTATAATTTCTTAGTTTTGATTAAAGCTCTGACTTTCTTCCTCAATTGATAAAATAATAAACAATAACAGTACACGGTCCTAATCATTAGTAAATAAACCAACACACTTAGTGAGACTCGACAGCGTGGATAAAAAATTTTTTTAAAATAATAATTGTAATAGAAACTAATATAAACAAATCATGCAATTAAAATATATGATATGCGGTCGTACATATTTATGCGATCAGATATTTTCAGCGTCAATAGAATGTAAATTTGTTTTTACATTGGATATTGCTTTAATCAACAGTAAAATTATTTTTGTGTTTATAATAATAGAAGAATCAATCTAATTATTTCCTACCTGTGATTTATGCTAGAGGTAAGCCTAGTATAGCAGGGAGTTATTCTTGAGGCTAGTTATCCTTTCTTTTGATCCGCAATACAGCTATCCTGCCTGTTTTTCTTCTGATCTTAATTATCTTCCTCTCTAGCTCCCATTATTTATTCTTAGAATATATATTCCTCACTAATTGTTACTGAGTTTAATTTATTATAAACTATCGATAATTGACGCTGAAGTGACAGATTTACAAAAATTTTATAGATTTTTATTTAATATTTATTTTGTTATAAAGAAAGAAAAAAAAACGGGCGCTTTATTTCTTCTAAGAAACTAAGTTTGTAATTAATCTTCGCATTGTTTTAATTTCTACTTAATTGTGGAGCAATCTTGTTACAAAATGGCGAAGACTACAATCGTTTAAAATCTATGGGAAATAAATTAAAGTAATTAAGAGATTCAATTTTTTCCTAGAAAAATTGTCAATATTAAAATAATATTTACAAAATGCTTAACACAGCCTGCTTAAATAAATATTTTCTACTTCTTGTCACTCCAGCGGTACTAACAATTACCAAATTTTTTATTTTAAAGGGTTACACGCACTTAAAATTAATAAAAATCAATTTTATTTTTAAATATTCACAGAGAAAATTTAATGCCAATTGATTCTTTTTTCAAAATGGTCTTTTAGAAAATCAGTAAGCAAGATTTATCGAAAATAACGGAACTGATCGATCTGTAATTTTTACACAATTTTCTCAATCATATTTTTCAGTGATTGATCCGAAGATTTGTAATTCTGAAAATATTTTATAAACAATTTGACAAAAAACGATTTCATTTTGCTAAGCTACCATTTTGATAAAAATAGATATTTTAATTAATTTATTCGATTAATCATTAGATAATATATTTCAACAGAAATATAATATAAATATAAATATACAGGAATATTAATTAATATTTAAAAACGTCAATAGTGAAAAAAGTACAGTGCAATTTAACAAATATCTTGTAAACTATTGACATTTTTAGAGATATAAGCTCACCCTGATGTTACGCTCATCGAGACCTTTCATTTGAGTACCCACATCAATTTTTCATATAGTTATATATATTATATATATGTATATATGAAAAATATATCAAATATGCATGTGGGTACTCAAATGAAAGCTCTTGATGAGTGTAACATCGAAATGAGCTTATATCTTTAAAAATGTCAATAATTAAGAACGTACGGTGCAATTTAACAAATATCTTGTGAACTAATGACATTTTTAAAGATATAAGTTCATCCCGATGTTACACTCATCGAGACCTTTCATTTAAGTACCCACATCAATTTTTCATATATTTATATATATTATATATAGATCAATATATAAAAAAATATATCAAATATGCATGTGGGTACTCAAATGAAAGCTCTTGATGAGTGTAACATCGAAATGAGCTTATATCTTTAAAAATGCCAATAGTTAAGAACGTACGGTGCAATTTAAAAAATATCTTGTGAACTTTTGACATTTTTTAAGATATAAGCTCACCTCAACACTACACTCATCGAGACCTTTCATTTGAGTACCCACATCAATTTTTCATATATTTCATATATTTATATATATTATATATACGTATATATAAAAAATATATCAAAAATGCATGTGGGTACTCAAATGAAAGCTCTTGATAAGTGTAACAACGGTATGAGCTTACATTTTTAAAAACGTCAATAGTTAAAAAAGTACAGTGCAATTTAAAAAAAGTCATTATTTAATAAAGCAAAATTTTATTTATTTATAGTTCATAAGTCCCAGCAGTCACATAGTGACTGCAAGATTGCTATTTATATTTTAAATTATTAAAAATTTTTTTAAATTATTGATTTTCACAGCGAGGAGTTAAAAATAACTTTTTAAAGTTCAATGTCACTACTATATCTAAATCAATTTTCACATTAATCAATTAAAAAACCTCTTCAGAAACAATCATTGAAAAATCTCTTTTTCTCAGTCTCCTAAATGCGAATAACCCTTTAAAAAAATAAAATAAAATATTTTTTGTATCGAAATATAAAAAAAAGTCAACCTACGATACACTACGACACTCTTATGTCAAACCATAAAAAATAGCAACACTTATCCTAATATCCATGCCACCTAAAAAAATTCAATCCATATAAAAAAAGCGTTTGTCTAATAAATAATCATATCTTGGAAAAAAGGTTCTGGTCATTTTTTATTAATTATCAAATCCAATCAAATTAAATAATCTATCTTAAGACAATTACAACTTAAAATTAATTAAATCAGTGTTTTTTCCTACACAACACCTACACATTGAAAAACTTTTATTCTCAAACTTATTTATAAAAATTTTGCTTATCATTACTTATTAATTATTATTAATAGTCAGTAATCTATCGCGCGCGAACTCGCTAATTTTTTTTTTTATTTTTTTTTCATTTTTATATATTTATATATAAATTATATTAATCCTCTCCCTCGAAAATGTTTTGCTCAGTAGTGTCTTTAATAATTGCAATCTACCTTACAACTTGCACAATAAATAATTATTAATCATTTAATTATCAATATATAAATAATATATGAGCCTTTAAAATCCTAAATTGCATTACAATAATTCCTGTTTTCTCTTTTTTATATTTTGAATAATAATTATAATTAAAACTTTTAACTGAAAGACTAAGTGAGAGTACAATCCCGTGATGCTTTTAATAAAAATCAATACAAAATAAACGGATGCAATTGAAATATCAATGAATATTATTGAAATTGATTATTTAATAAAATAAAATAAAATAGTCAAGTAATTATAAATACGTTATCTGAAATTTTAACTACAGATAATCTGTGTAACTAATAACTGTAATGGTGATTATTTGTAATATTATATCGTATTACAGATGCCGTAAGGGCGTATAATAAAAATCCTATTTTTTTTTCTAAGTCCAAAAAATTTTTAGTATGAAAAAAAATTTTTTTTTGCATTTCTGGACGTTTCATACAAAAATAAATTTTCCCAGAAAAAAAAAAATTTTATACGCCCTCAAGACTTCCGGGACCCAAAAAAAATTTTTTTTGGCAATCGACGTATTTCTTCATGAAACGTGAAGAAATGCAAAAAAGAATTTTTTTTCATACTAAAAATTATTTTTGGACTTATAAAAAAAATAAGAATTTTTATTATACACCCTTATGGCATCTGGAACGCGATATCGGTGCTACATAATACACTGAAGAGACTGGTTAATAAATTTCCAGTTAATATAAATTAATAACGTCGCCAGTATTCGATATTAATAATAATATTATCTTTGAAAAATATATAAATCTTTCCCTCAACGCTATTACAATAAGTAAATGTAAATGGGTAAATTAACGCATTAATTCTCATGTTTTTACAGTAATTAGAGTGGTTACGTTTAAATTGAGTGTTGATTAAATTGAAATAATGATAAATAATTATTGAATGATTTTGATCCTGTATTGATATTGATATTCGATCCTGATTGTCCTGCCTTGGGCCTCATTGCCTGCCTCACTCTACGCCTTTTAGCCCTGCCTGCTCCACAGTAACTAACTCAGTAGTACACAAGATTTTCTATGTACTCGACGGACTAGAAGACAACAAGTAGTATTGGGGTTCACCTGAGGTTCAAAATTCACAAATATCACGTTAGTTCGAGGATAACTACATGGACCTTCCGCAACACTTCAATTCTTTATTTTATTTTTTCATCTTAAACTTTTTCTTTTAGTTTGTTTCTTTGTTTTTTTTTTTTACTATTTATTTCTTTCACTGCAAGCTAAATATCTAAAAGAAAATTGATTTCGTTCTAATTACTTATTTTAGTCTAACCTCTTTTTGTTTATTTTATTTTATTATTAATTGTTGATGGTAATAATAATAATAATAAAAGATAAATTGTCAAGATTCAAGTAATATTTATTTAAGAAAACTACTATCTGATAAATTGACTTTGTTGGTTTTTTTTTAAATAAAAATAAATAAAATATTCGACAATTTTAAAAAATTCTTTTATAGAGCTGTGATTTTAATTATTTAATTTTTTTTAGATTTAAAATTAGGATATCCACGAATAAAGCCTAATTAAAAGATATTTTTAAAGGAAATAAATTTTAATGTTAATAATTATTTAAGGATATTTTTTATAAAATATCAACAACAAAATGGTCATTTTTACTATTAGAAAAATAAATTTAAATATTAGAAGTGTAGTAGGGTAAAAAGGATTTAATTTATCTAGAGGGTTAATAACTGATCTTAATTAATTAATTTATTAAATTATACACGAAAAAAAGTAAACTGGTTAATTTTTAGAGTTTTAAACAGTACAGTGGACATCGGGGAGGCACAAATGTAAATATTATAAAGTTTAATGTAGAAGGTGGAACAATTTATAATTTAATATCGAAAATTTAATTAGTATCTGTCACTGTAGTAAATAACGACTATCTCATTTTAAAAAATTACAGTTTCAAACAGTAAAAATTGCTGTTTCAATATATAGTCTATACTATGAGGAGAAGGGGAAGGTCTCACACTCAGAGAAATTAACATTTGAATCAGTAAAAATTCTACTCTTAAAATATATATTTTACCAGTCCAGCAAATTAATAACTGAGGAGTTGATTTTCAAAAGGATATCTTTTCATATTTTAGAAGAGGAGTTTTTTGAACTTTTAAATATATTAATTACTTTGAGAATTATAAATATTTCTGAATGAAAATCGAACTGTAGCTTCATAACCGATAACACTTTATAGTTAAATTAAAAAAGTTCAATAAAAATATTTATAATTGAAGATATTCAGTTTTTTATCTCGATTAAATGAAAATGAAAAGGTACCCATTTGAAACTTAGCTCCTCAACTATAGTTTGATTTTTAGCGTTGCGTTTAAAATTTACCATTTCACTTTGTAAATATTGATGACACTGAAGTTAGCAGACGTCTAAAAATTTTGGATTTTTTTTTTTTTTTTTTCAATTAAATTACAACTAAAAAGATATTTCTAAAAAATTGCAATTATAGTTTTTCAAGTTTTTTACATGTGACAATTTTTTTTTTAATTATTTAATTTAAATTTTTTCAATAAAAAATTTTGAAATGTCAGCTAACTTCATTTTCATAAATATTGACGTTGCTTGTATAGCAATTTAATAACTGTAGTTACTAAATATATTTTTTTCAGTTAATCATTGCTTATTATAAATCGACTATTATTTATTACAGTTTACTTTTTTCCGTGTATCAAAGTAAGTCAAAATTATCCAACTGCATTAAAACAATCCCTAATTTTATATTCATTTTTCAAAAAGTTTAATTATATTTTTGCTGATGGTAAAAGTTGTCATTTTGTTGTTATTTGAATAAAAATTAACATAAAAAGTAATTAACTAAATTGAACATTTTTCATTATATCATTATTCAATCACTAAATTAATTTTTTTAATTAAAAAAAAAAAAAAAAAAATTACCAGACAGGAGTTTTCTTAAGTCAAAACTTATAAATAAATAACTTCATAAATAAATATACTAACCTTCGAGGGAGAGTTTTCTTCACGAGGATGCAAGTCTTAAATTAATAACGTCTTCCGCCACCCATGTTACCACCGCCGCCACCACCACCACCGCCACCACCCATGTTTCCGCCGCCGTATCCACCTTGATTGCCGCCTCCGTATCCACCGCCACCACCACCTCCTACAGAATTACCTCCCATGGGTCCTAGAATCACAATATAAATTTATTTAGAAATAGTCTTGTACTTAAATTAATTATTATGATTTCTTATAATTGTTGACAAAATAAAAAAACATAAAAAAAAAATTAATTGTGAACAAAGGGGCTCCTTCTCATAACGTTAATTGTTAATGTAAATAAGAGCTGTTAGTAGGAAATAATTGCATTAATAATTCAGTGAATTAATACAGTTTAATTGAGCCAAAAGATTAATTAATTATTTTCAGAGTTATTTTTCTTATGAATTTTTTGAGTTATTTTAATTATTTGAACTATAAAAATATAATTTTGAAAAGGGAAGGAGTAAAGAGCGACCTTGTCCACCGAAGGGTGGCATCCACCTCGCGTCTCCACCAGATTGTCTTCCACTAGGGCCCATACTAGTACCGTAGGGTGCAGGTCGTCCGCCGGAGTTGAAATTACTTCTTACAGGCCCGCCGCCGTAACCTTGTTGGTACCCGCTGCCGAAGTTATCGTTGCTCCAGTTACCGCCGCTGTTGTAGCCGCCCTGGCCTCCTTGACCGCCCCAGTTGCCGCCTTTACCACCGCCAAAAAATTTAATTTCAATAAAAAACAATTCGTTCTATTTTTGAGTTAATTATTTTTAGTGGAAAATGATTTATTTTGATTCAATACCTTGGTTTTGACTTTCCCAAGGTCCGTTACCGCCCCAGTTGTTCTGGTTTCCACCGCCGTAACCTCCTTGACCGCCACCGTTGTTCCAGTCGCCACCGCCGCCACCACCTCCACCACCACCGCCTGAGCCGCGGTTACCCCAATTGCCACCTCCTTGGTTTCCACCTCGTGGACCACGACCTCCTGATTGACCGCCACGGCTTCCACCACCGCCGCCACCACCTCCACCACTACCACCGCCACCGCTTCCTCCGGTCGCTGAGGCCATCTCTGCTCTACTTAAAGCCTATAAAGAAATATTTAATTAATTGGTTAGTTGATTTTTTTTTATTTATTAAATAATGTCAAGACATAGGATTAATTTGAAAATTTTTATGAGAAACAAAGATCAATGACAATACAATGATATAATTTTACCTTAAGGTATTTGAGCCCTTTCAGGCATATTTCAAGAAAATTATTAAATTTTTTTTATTGAAAGATAAATATATTAATAATTCACTATCAAATTAAATCAATAATTTAAATTATTTAAATTACTCATTTTTTTTTTAATTCATTATTTATTTTATTTTGATTATCAATTTTCCAAGAAATGCATTACTTACATTTGTTAAATGATTAACTTATCAAGTCAGATAATTTTAATTAATTATTTATAATTTAATTATTAATTAAGTTTGAAATAAATTTTCAGAGAAATAAAATTTTTGCAATCCTAATTAAATAAAATATTACTATCTAACGCTATGTATTTCTAATTATAGTACAAAATTTGAAAAACTAATTATAGTTTAAGGAGGTAAAGATATGAAATCAAACTAAAAAGTAGAGAACAATTTTGGATGATTTTCAACAAATTTCAAATAAGGATATTGATAAAAAATAAAATGTTTTTTACTATAGAAAAAAAAAGCGTAGACTGATTCTCAATATATTTTCATATTAATTTTACTTTCAAAATATCAATCATAGAGGTCTACATTAGTACAAAAAATTACCATGTGATAAGGTAAAAGCCCCAATAGATGATCATATACTGGTACATGATCATCTATTGGGGCTTTTGCCTTATAACAAATGAAGAGCGATTAAATATATTTAAAATTGAGCTAAAAAATCATATTATGAATAATGTTGATATTTTAAAAATATAAATACTTTAGTAATAAAGAATGTATACATGTATTTATTTGAAAGAAATTTATGTTTATGTATATTGTAAATAGCGAAGCTAACAAACAATAAGTATTATTATTATTGTTATCGTTGTTGACTCACAATAAAATATCAATTAATCTATATTGTTTTATTGTAAAATGAATTTTTTTATTATTTTAAATTTAGATATTGAGAATCATTTAAAATTATACTCTACTTTTTAGAGTCAGTCTTTGACACGGTGTTCTTTTATTAAAAACTGGTTTATTATCTTTTGTTTCTCTTATGTTAACATAAGAAAAAAACTCTGTTTAAACAAAAAACATGGCTTGAAAGACGGGCCTTTAGTTTTTTAAACCGCGTTTTTAACTTTTTCAAATTATATAATCGAATAGTTTAAATTAAATTTAATTCGATTAAGAAAAAAATAAATAAAAAAATCTCATACCTTTTTGACATCGACATGCTTTCCTCGGATCTGATGATTCCGTTGCAAACAAATTTTATCCACGGGATCGTAGTCATCGAATTCGACGAAACCAAACCCGCGTTTCTTACCAGTCTCTTTGTCGGTAACGATGCTGATGGAGTTGATGCTTCCGTAACCTTGGAAATACTGTCTCAAATCGTCTTCCTCGTGGTCATCCTTCAATCCGCCGACGAAGAGCTTTTTCACGGTTGCACCAGCCTCGGGGCGTCCAATTTCCTGGCGCGGTACAGCGCGTTTTGGCTCAACCACGCGGTTATCAACTTGGTGAGGTCTTGCGCGCTGCGCGTCATCTACCATGTGTGCTCTGGAGTAGGTTATGAAACCAAATCCTCGCGAGCGCTTGGTCTTCGGGTCCTTCATCACCACCACGTCGACGATTTCTCCCCATTGCTCGAAGTGCTTCTTCAGAGAATCGTCTGTTGTTCTATAGTCTAATCCTCCAATAAATAATTTTCTGACATGCTCGGGTTCATTTTTGCCGTCCTGAAATTTTAATAATTTTGTTATTATCTCCAAAATTAATACTCCAATTTTAAAACAAATTTTCGTAGAAGAATTGATTAAAATGTTGATACAATAATCATAATAATTAATAAAAATATTTGAGACTTAAAATAACCGACACTTGGCAATTTTCCAGCTCTTATAAACAAATTAGAGATTTGAAATACAAATGTAAAAAATTTTACGTGTTATTGTGAACGATACTGAAATCAGAAAATATTTAACGATTTTTTTTTGTTTTACTCAATACAAAGATTGTAACTAAAAAATTTTTGTGAAAAAAATTCACTCACAATTTTATAAAATTTTTTGCAATAGAAATCTTTAATTCATAATTTATATTTAATAAGAACTAGCAACTTTGCAGTCACTACGTGACTGTCGTGAGTTGTAAACTATAAATAAATGAAATTTTGTTTTATTAAATAATGACTTTTATTAAATTGCACTGTACTTTCTTGAATATTGCAGTTTTTAAAGATATAAGCTCATCCTGACATTACACTCATCGAGACCTTTCATTTGAGTACCCACATGCATTTTCATATATTTATCATATATACATATATATAATATATATAAATATATAAAAAATTGATGTTGGTACTCAAATGAAAGGTTTCAATGACTGTAATGTCGGGATGAGCTTATATCTTTAAAAATGTCAATATTTTACAAAATATTTGTTAAATTGCACTGTACTTTCTTAACTATTGACGTTTTTAAAAATATAAGCTCATCCCGAAGTTACACTTATCAAGAGCTTTCATTCAAGTACCCACATGCATGTTCATATATTTTTCATATATACATATATATAATATATATAAATATATGAAAAATTGATGTGGTTACTCAAATGAAAGGTCTTGATGAGTGTAACATCGGGATGAGCTTATATCTTTAAAAATATCAATAGCTCACAAGATACTTGTTAAATTGCACTGTACTTGCTTAAATATTGACGTTTTTAAAGATATAAGCTCATCCCGATATTACACTCATCAAGAGCTTTCATTTGAGTACCTACATGCATTTTGATATATTTTTCATATATACATATATAATATATATATATAAATATATGAAAAACTGATGTGGGTACTCAAATGAAAGGTCTTGATGAGTGTAACATCGGGATGAGGTTATATCTTTGAAAATGTCAATAGTTCGCGAGATACAGTCTCATTTCTTAATTATGTATCTAGAAATGGAGCATTTTCGAATGCAGCCTCAATACTAATCATCATAAATTAACTAATGGTGAGAATTATATGAAAAGTTGAAAAGGCACAAATTCAAGTCAAGACCTTTGCAATGACTAAATCTCACTAAAAAAAAAAAAAAACCGATTTTATCGTATGACTATTCCAGAGATAATATTTTTCTTATTCTCTTAATAATGTAGATTCGACAGCTATTCATTTGACATATTTATCTTTCTATAAAATTTCTTTATATTGAACTATATTAATTGACTTCTTAAAAAAAAATTGAAATTTGCCCAATATCTGTTAATTCCATTGTCTTAAATATTTTGTAATTTATATTGACACTCATATTTCACAAAAATCAATACAAAATGGCTCTGTTTGACCACAAACCTTTAGACGTGTCAAATAAAATGATCAATATATAGTTAATTCTGTTTATAACTAATATAAAAATTATCAGCGGGTATATACAAACTAAAATGGCTATATTTAGACATATATAAAAAATATTAGTAGTTAAGAGCAAGGACGCGGTATCATAAAATAACCGACGCCATGTTGTTATTTTTTCAAGCTTCTGTTGGACTAAAAATAATTTTGATTAAATAATCACTTGAATTTTTTTCCACACTTGAAAATATAACTTTAAAAAATTTACAAAATTAATGAAGATTTGAAAAAAAATTTTTTTTACAACATTATGACAGGTAACAAAAATCGGAGTTCATCAGTTAAAAGAATTAACCATATATTTGCTTTTGATAAATTTAAGAATATTATAAATGAACGGATCAATGTAACTCACCTCATGCTCCATTTTGACCATTTTGGAGGGCTAATAAATAATTACTGATGATTTAATGTGATTAGATAAAACAATACAGTTAAAACGTTTATTGCGACGCACCAGCAATTGACAAAAAGTTTAATGGCTTCTCAATCCTAAAGCCGATCGATTTTAATGAAGTCCGTTCATTTAGATAAGTGGACCCCGAATTTTTTGTAGATGTGAAGTTGCCGGTATCCACTGGTGGGAGTTGACACATGCGCAGAAAATTTACTTTTACGAACTAGTTTCTAGTTTAATTAATAGGTGGCGACTTGTTACAGTTTTATGTTTGTTCCAAAAAATTATTTTTAAAAAATTCCATTTTTAATTATTTAAAATTTATGAAAATTAAGTAAGCCGACATCTAAAAATTTTTAGAATTTTTCTTATTGAACAAATTATTACAAAAAAATTAAAAAAAAATTTTCACCTGTAAAAAACTTTAAAAACTGTAAGTGCAATTTTTTAAAAATATTTTTTTTATTCTAATTTAATTATTAAAAAAAATTAAAAATGTCGGACAACTTTAGTATCATTAAAATTTCTAATTGTCAATTTTTTCACCATAATTTATTTGTTATAAAATTATAAAAATTATAAAAGTTAGTTGTCACTTGATCATTTTTTAATTATTTTTAGCAAACAAATTTGTTCCAAAAGTTATTTTTAAAAAATTATATTTTTTACTTTTTTAAAATTTCTACTTCTCAAACGACACAAAAATTTTTTTGGTAATATTTTGATGAAAATAAAGTTAGCCGACATTTCAAAATTTTTTATTGAAAACAATTAAAAAAAAAATTCCACATGTAAAAAACTTGAAAAACTATAAGTGCAATTTTTTATAAATATCTTTTTCGTTGTAATTTAATTAATAAAAAAAAATAAAAACTTTTTAGACGTCCGCTAACTTTAGTGTCATAATATTCTGTTGAATTCAAGTTGACAATTATTATTTTTTGTTAAATAAAATTTACCAAAAAGTCGACAATTTTTTCATGTGACGCTTGGATTGTCAATTTTTTTTTTTTTTTGCCGTAATTTATTTGTTATAGAATTCTTAAAGTTATTAAATATATGCTAAATTAATTTTCATTTTATATGACATTAAAGTTAGCTGTCACTTCACAATTTTTTAATTTTAATTAATAAAAAAATTTGTTCCAAAAAATAATTTTTAAAAAAATTGCATTTTTAAATATTTAAAATTTCTACTTGTCAATTTTTTTTTTCTATTTTTTTTTTGTCGACATTTTTAATTTTTAGATTTTGCCTATATTTATTAAATTAAAACTAAAAAATAATTTTTTTTTAACTGCACTTACAATTTTTCAAATTTTCTACATGTCAATTTTATTTTTAGTAATAAAAAAAAAGTTCTTCAATAAAAAAAATTGTAAAAATTTTTAAAGTGAATTATTGAAAGAAACAATTGAGATCTGTCTTACCGAAAGCCAGCAAGCTGCGCGCTAAATAATAATAATAATAATCATGCATAGTTTCAAAGGAAAACAATAAATAATAATATGTCAGCGGACAGATTTCGGATTGGTGTTTGAGTTAAAGGTGGGGATTTGTTCTTACATTAAAATAACAACAACAAAATCTGATTGAAAAATTATAACCACTTGTAATTGTAACTATGAACGTTTTAAGTTAACGATGCGCTTGAAATAATTTGTTTAATAACATAATTTATAAATTTTATTTAAATATTTTGTTAGAGCACGCGACCTGGGGTTATGAATAACCTAAATATAGTTTCTAATAGAAATACGTATGTATAAATTTATGTAACAGAGAAATGTTGGTGAACTTGTAGTCTAGTCTGGCCTTATATTAGTCATCCCGTATCTTGTAGTACACTACTTAGTCTATTTATTACCGGGGCATAGATAATTTTATAAAAACACATCCCCTCTTTTGTTGTAATTCTCAAAAGCCTACTTTCTTAAATAACTTCACTGAGTTTTAATATAAGACGAGCATTTATATATCCGGAGATTTTAATTCCTTACAATGGTAAGTTTTTTAATAAATTTTTTGGTTCAATAATTTTGAATTTTTAATAAAAATTTTTTCTAGGCACTTTTGGGAATTCAATTGGTAATTACTTTAGTGGTTGTTAGTGTAATTCAAAAAATAAACCCTCATTTTTCATTGGCTAAATGGATTTTATGTTCCACTGGGTAAGAATTTTTTTAATTTTATTTTTATGAAAAATAAAAATTACTTTAGCAGATATTTAATAATTTTTAGAACTTTTTTTAACAAATAAATTATGGCAAAAAAAAAAAAAATAAGAAAAAAAATGGACATGTAGAAATTTAAAAAAATTATAAATGCAATTTTTTTTTAATTATTTTAATTTTTAAATAAAAATAAAAATTTGTCAAGTGACAGCTAACTTTAATGTCATTTATGAATATTAATTTAGCCGGTATTTAATAATTTTTCTAATAAATAAATTGCTGCACAAAAAAAGTAAGAAAAAAATGGACATTTAGAAATTTTTATAAATTAAAAATGCAAATTTTTTTTAAATAATTTTTCGGAATAAATTTTTTTGTTAAATAAAATTAAAAAATGGTCAAGTGACAGCTAACTTTAATATCATTTTATTTTTTATCAATTATAAAATTATCATTGACATTTTTTTATAAACAAAATAAATTATTAAACTCTAAAATTTTTTTAATGGCGAATAATTTTTGCATTGCAGACTGATAAGATACTTGTATCCAACAAATGATGAGTTGAAAACTCTCGCGAATATACCAAAGGAAAAACCAAGAAAAGGAAAGCACTTGCAAAATGGAAATTCACATCAAACTTTTCACGTCCCACGTAATTTAGACATTACCTTAGAAAATGCTCAAGTGACCAACTTGGATATCATTCATTTAAAGTATTACTCGGATTTTCAATGGCTGTTGGATTTTTCAATCTATGCAACTATAACTTACGTTCTTACTGAGGTTCAGTGATAATAATTACTCAAAATCGCTAATTTAAGTACCAAGTATTTTATTTTAATTAAATTTGTTTATAATTACAGGTTTATTATTATTTGTATTCCATTGAAGGAGAGATCAATCTAAGTATGCTTTGGTGCATACTAGTAATTGGATTTTCATTGTATCCTTTTTATTCAATAATTTTTTTTCGACACTATAATCAGCGGTAATCGGGAAAAATAAACCCGGAAAAAATTTTTAAGTTATGAAAAATTCATATTATTTCATTTAAATTATTATTAAATAAAAATAATAATAATAATAACAACAATCCACAATTTTCCTGAAAAACAAGCACCCTCATAATGATCGCTCCATTTTTTGTTACAAGAAAAAAATTATTATTACTATTATTATTATAATTTTTATTTTATATAATAATTTTAATGAAATAATATAAATTTTTCATAACTTAGAAATTTTTTTTCGGAATTCAAAACCAGCAGACACGTCCATTTTTTTATTTAACTCAATTTTTTTTTTTTTAATTAAAATTAAAAAAAAATTTTTTTCATAGTTTTTCACGATTTCTACACATAAAATTTGTTTGTCATTGTCTGTTTGTTATAAGAATATGTTAAATATTTTTTTTTATCCTCTTGAATTTCGCGTTAGTCTTAAAATTAATGATAATTAATTTAACGGATATTTGATAATTTTAAGAATTTTTGTAACAAATAAATTATATCAAAAAATATTTATAAAAAAAATTGACATTTAGAAATTTTAAAAAATAAAAAGTGGAATTTTTTTAAAAATAATTATTTTTAAGAAATATGACAGCTTAATTCAATGTCATTAAAATTAATTCACTTTATGATTCCTTAATTAAAAAATTCAGTAAAATATTGATAGTCCTCTGGGTGCAATACTTCAAAAGCAATGAAAATACTGGTGAAAGATCAACATGTATCGTCATGGGAATCGTTTATTTATTGATTGCATTAGCAGTTCAAATAATTGACGAAAAAATAATAGAAATTGGTCTGAACAAAGCTTACACCAGTTTCAATCAAAGTGCAACTAAATTTCTTGGCGAACACGGACTCTCTTCTACGTATGAATTTAAAATAAAAATAATTTTTACATCCATGCAATTAAAAATTAATTTTAAAATAATTATTTTAGGGGACCAGCATCAGGGATAGTCTTGAAGTTTTCCCTAGCCGTTTGGTGTGGATTACTTGGCTCATTGCTAACTTTTCCGGGTCTGAGGATGGCGCAAATGCACTCAGATGCTTTGATGTATTTTTATTATTCTTAAAAATTAATTATTACTAAATTACCTAACATTGAACAAAGTAATAAGAATATTGTTGCATTTCAGTTACCACAAACAGCGTAAAATGTTATCATTATTAGCAAACATAAGCTTTGCGTCACCTTTACTGCTAGTTTGTTTGTGGATAAAACCTATAAGTCGAGATTATCTTACTGTAAGAGTTTTTACGGGAGCAAGTGGCCCACTGTAAGTAATATTAATTGTTTATTTTTTTACAATGTAAACAATGCTTAATCTATGATTTTTCAGGATGACTCCAGATGCATTTGAAAGTATGAGACTGATTGCTATTATCGTTGTAGTTTTATTGAAATTATTATTAATGCCGATGTATCTGCAGTCGTATTTAAATTTGGCTGAGCAGAGACTAGAGAAATTAAAAAAAGAATCTGGTAGAATAACTAATGTTGATTTACAAAAAAAAGTAACATTAATTTATATTAATAAATCATAATTAATTGATTGTTTTTTAGTTTAAAAAAAAAACAAATTATTTATTTACTTTCAGATTGCTGCAGTGTTTTATTATCTGTGCGTCGTATCGATACAATTTATAGCACCATTGCTACTGTGTTTATTTTTCTCATTTATGTACAAAACACTTGGTAAGCTCAAAATTTTATTTAAAAATAATTTTATTATTAAAAAGATTATAAACTAAATTTAAATTAGCACCTTTGTCACTGTGTGACTGCCGTGACTTGTAGACTAGAAATAAACAAAATTTTGCTTTATTAGGTAATGAATTTCGTTAAATTGCACGGTACTTTCTTAACTATTGACGTTTTTAAAGATATAAACTCATTCCGATGTTACACTCATCAAGAGCTTTCATTTGAGTACCCACATGGATTTTTGATATATTTTTCATATATACATATATATAATATATATATAAATATATAAAAAATTGATGTGGGTACTCAAATGAAAGGTCTTGAGGAGTGTAACATCGAGATGAGCTTACATCTTTAAAAATGTCAATAGTTAACGAGATACAAGATCATTCTTTAATAATTGATATTTTTAAAAATATAAGCTCATCGTGATATTACACTCATCAAGAGCTTTCATTTGAGTACCCACATCAATTTTTCATATATTTTTCATATATACATATATATAATATATATATAAATATATAAAAAATTGATGTGGGTACTCAAATGAAAGGTCTTGACGAGTGTAACATCGGGATGAGCTTATATCTTTAAAAATGTCAATAGTTAACGAGATACAATGTCATTTAAATTATCATAATAAATTAACTAACGGTGAGAATTATATGATACTTTGAAAAGGCACAAATTCAAGTCAAGACCTCTGCAATGAAATTAAATTTCACTAAAAAAACTGATTTTATCACATGACTATCCTGGACACAAAATTTTTCTTATTCTTTTAATAATATCGATTATTGTTTCAGGTGGTTACTCGTGGAATGGTTTTGGTAGTGCGTTAGAAGAATGTTCTGTTGACGAATCTCATCCGGTGACAAGCAGTGACAATGTCGACAATATTGAAAAAACTATTACGCAAACTGCTGAAGAATTCCACTTAGCTTTAGGATCTTTGAAACAAGTTAGTTCTATTTCTTCTTTTTATATTATGTATATAATAATAATAATAATAAAATATTGAGTCTAATTATGTTCCTTACAGATTTTTACAACAGAAGTCTTCCGTGGTTTGTTTGGATTGGCAACATGGTGGACCTGTTTTACGATATTTGCAACAAATGCTCTAGGAATGTTTTGTCAGTCGTACCTGACAGCCGCGTAATGAACAATTAGTTTGACAATTTATTAATTTAATAATTACTAAAAAAAAATTAAAAAAAAAAATTGAGACTTTTTTGTAAAAGACTAAACGCACAATAATCGATCGTTGTAAATAGTTAAACAGTCGGTGAGTGAATGTTTTTTTTTTTTTTCTAATAATAATAATAAATTATTTTTCTTGCAATTAATAATTTAATTTAACAAATGATTCTTTTTTCTTACGATTCATTTGTCGCGTTACCGTAAAATTCTTTGACTTTTTTTTCTTCTGGTACGTAGAATTGTACGACGATAATTAAGTAAGTCGTAATCACTCCGATAAACTGAAAAAAAATAAATTTATTAAAAATAAAAGACTAAATATTGTAAATAAATAAAATGTAAATAAAGTGAAAATGTTTACGCTTCGTAAAAGTTTATTGTCTATTATGAAAAATCCACAGGCGTTAAAATTCATTGTAGAGTGATGAAGTTGCGATGAAAAGTTATTTATTTCACGTTGTAAGTTTGTTTCTGGATCACAGGGTTTGGTAATGTCCACCGAATACAATTCGCAGGAACGTAGACATTTTGAAATTCGTCTGAAAAAATCAAAGTTTCAAAAATTATAATATAAATAATTAATGCTTAATAATTAATAATTAATCGGAAAAAATTTGAATAAATTACGTAAGAATGATCTTGTGGATTATAATTGCAGTTTTCTTAGATTCCCCACGTACAAACGTGCAAATAACGCAGTTCAATGTTACTTGTACCGTGTAAGTAATCCATATTATGTTGTTAATAAGAATAAACATGTTTTTTCCTTCAACAACGCCCATGTATATTCGGAACAATGTTGCGACGACCATTGTGAAGGCGTTCAGAGTACTGAGAAGCAAATGGATGCCGTAGATGTTATTTACGTACCTTACAAGGTTGCAAATACCTGAAATTAATTTATATTCATCAATATTAACGTTTTTAAAGATATAAGCTCATCCTGATGTTACACTGATTAAGAGCTTTCATTTGAGTACCCACATGTATTTTTGATATATTTGTCATATATACATATATATAATATATATAAATATATGAAAAATTGATGTGGGTACTCAAATGAAAGGTCTCGATGAGTGTAACATCGGGAAGGGCTTATATCTTTAAAAATGTCAATAGCTCACAAGATACTTGTTAAATTGCACTGTACTTGCTTAAATATTGACGTTTTTAAAGATATAAGCTCATCCCGATATTACACTCACCAAGAGCTTTCATTTGAGTACCTACATGCATTTTGATATATTTTCCATATATATACATATATAATATCTATAAATATATGAAAAAATCATGTGGGTACTTAAATGAAAGGTCTCGATGAGTGTAATGTCGGGGTAAGCTTATATCCTTAAAAATGTCAATAGTTCTCAATATATTTGTTAAATTGCACTGTAATTTCTTAACTATTGACATTTTAAATATATAAAGCTCATCCTGATGTTACCTTCAATAAGAGCTTTCATTTGAGTACCCACATCAATTTTTCATATATTTTTCATATATACATATATATATAATATATATAAAAATATGAAAAATTGATGTGGGTACTCAAATGAATGGTCTCAATGAGTGTAACATCGGGATGAGCTTATATCTTCAAAAATGTCAATAGTTCACAAGATACAAGGTCATTTTTTCAATTATATATCTAGAAATCGAGCATTTTCGAATGCAGCCTAAATACTTATCGTAATAAATTAACTATTCGTGAAAATGATATGAAACCTTGAAAAGGCACAAATTCAAATCAAGACCTTTGCAATGATACTAAATTTCATCAAAAAAACCGATTTTATCATATGAATATCCTGGAGACAAAATTTTTCTTATTCTCTTAATAATATAGATTTAGTTTAATACTTAAAAAAAAATTCAGATTTAAGAAATTGAGAATTAATTTCACTTTTTTTCTAGATTACATAATTTTTAATAAAGTAATCTTTACAAAAATTGCCTTAATCTTCATTTGAAAGCTCAAAAAAATTTATCCAAATATTTACCATTATAAATTTCTCTGATTCTCCGGATTTCCAAGACAACATTGCCCGATCCCAAATCTTCAATTTTATTGATTCCATTGTTCAGCTCTCTTAACCTCGAATAGATTAACAAGACAATAATGTCAAAGAAGAAATTCATTGCCAAAGATTGCGCAATAGTGTGATACAACAACAGATCAGAGGTAAAAAGATCTTCCGGGCGAATATTATAATAGTAAACTGCATGGCAAATTAGCGAAAAAGGACCCAAAAGCACAGTAATAATTACCGCGAATATCTGAAACTTATTAATCAAACAATTATATGATATATCTTCTACATTGCCTTGCCGGGTGATTTTCTTATCAACTTTAATGATCATCTTGATTAAAATCGGCCAATTCTTGTGCTGAACCAGTCCTTGGATAACACACCAGTAAGAAGAAATGTAACAGGAAACTTTATTTGTATAGTACATTATTTTGAATGTGTCGCTTTTGAAAACACCTTCAAAGAAGAAGAAATCTATCGCGCCGTACACAACTATTGTCGTGCAAATTGCTAAATTTATTACACGAATAATAATTGTGGCCACTCGCGAACAATCTGGGTGACATATACCCGCGGATAATATCCAACAAATTACCGTCATAGGTTTTAAAAACTTCTTTATAGTTTCTTCATTAATTTTTTTATTTTTTTCTATCGCTATAGTTATCAAATCTTCCGAAGAATCCATCGCGAAATTTTGTTTAAATGTGCGACTATCAAAAGTCTAGAGCTTGTTGTTTCAATTGCTTTTAATTAGAATTAATAATTAATATTTATCATTAATTATTCCGCATTAATTTCTTCACAGTGTTTATCGTCACGTATGATCATCTTATCATGTTAATTAGCAAAAAAAAAATTAATTTATATTAATGAGCCTTAATTATCGTCTCGCTTGCTATTAATAATTTAAGAACATTAATAATTTTGGGTATTATCCTAAATTTTGGCAATCTAACCTCAATTGAAACAATCTAAAATAATTTTTTTTTTAAGCAATACGAATTATTTATTATTTGGTAGTCTATTAATGAACTATTCGGGTGAAAATCTATTCTATTAGTGTATCATAATCTAAAATCTCGAAGCAAAACCATAAATCCATCACATACTGTACTGAATTATTTTTTAGATTGCGTGACTAACCAATAAACTCTCCCATGCACAAGTTAATTGAATGGATCATGATAATCGCTAAACAATTAAGATAAAATCTTTTTTTTTTTTTTCTAATAACTTAACAATTTCATTTACTTAATTTATTTATCATCTGATAAAAGTTATCTTAAAATTTCTTCATTGTTGTTATTAAGAAGAAAATGTTTCAATTTTAAATGATCTATATTATTAAGTGAATTAAGAAATAATCATGTATCTCGTGAACTATTCACATTTTTAAAGATGTAAGCTCATCCCGATGTTACTCTCTTCAAGACCTTTCATTTAAGTACCCACATGATTTTTTTATATATTTATATATATTATATATATGTATATATGAAAAATATATCAAAAATGCATGTGGGTACTTATATGAAAGCTCTTAATGAGTGTAACATCAGGGCGAGCTTATATCCTTAAAAACGTCAATATTTAAGAAAGTACAGTGCAATTTAACAAGTATCTTGTAAAATATTGATATTTTTGAAGATATAAGCTCACCTCGACATTACAGTCATTGAAACCTTTCATTTGAGTACCCACACTAATTTTTTATATATTTATATATATTATATATATGTATATATGAAAAATATATCAAAAATGCATATGGGTACTCAAATGAAAGCTCTTGATGAGTGTAACATCGGGATGAGCTTATATCTTAAAAAATGTCAAAAGTTCAGAAAGTACAATGCAATTTAACAAATATCTTGTGAACTATTGATATTTTTAAAGATATAAGCTCACGCCTACATTACACTCATCAAGACATTTCATTTGAGTACCCACATCATTTTTTCATATATTTATATACATTATATATATGTATATATGAAAAATATATCAAAAATGCATGTGGGTACTCAAATGAAATCTCTTGATGACTGTAACATCGGGATGAGCTTATATTTTTAAAAACATCAATAGTTAAAAAAGTACAGCGCAATTTAACAAAATTCATTATTTGATAAAGCAAAATTTTATTTATATATAGTTGACTACGGCAGTCACATAGTGACTGCAAGGTTGCTAGTTGATATTATTGTTAAGATAAATTTCTGCGACATGTTGTTAAAAAAAAAATTTATTCATCAACTTTAAAATACAATTTAACATAATTATAATTATTATACAATTAATTTGTTGCGGCAAAAATTTTAAGCGCCGCAATATTTTAACAACTAAAAATCTAAATTATAAAATAAATATTTTATTTTTTTATTAATAACAATATAAATAAACAAATTTAAAAAATGGAATATTTTTATTTCATTTAGTCATTTCGAACGTGTAAACATTAAAAAGATTACTTCAACTATCTCCATTTCTATATTATGTACGAATTTATTCAGCAATTTTAATATATTTATGTAACAATTCAATATTGCACCCTCAGTACTATTCAATACGTTGTATATATTTATATTTATATTTATATCATCAATAAAAATCAATTTTAAATAATATCAATAATAATAATAATATACATATATATTTAACAATTGTAGACTCAATAATATAATCATTATCTTCAATAATTAATCAATAGTATTGATATCAATTAATGTTAATATTAATGGTTAACATTTTCTAGAGGCACGATATTGCGACACTGATATGTGACAAATATACATTTTAAAGCTCCATTAATATAATAATAAAATTAAAAAAAATTCTCATCAATTATTTAAGTAACGCTCAAGCAAAACATACACGAAGCCATTAACGTATTTAATTTATAATTTATATTATATATATAATAAATATATTTTTATAAATAGTTACCGTGCCTCGGTAATCATAATTTTGTTTTACAGTTTAAAATTTTCAAGTAAACGATTACTAAAAATTTATTTTAAATAAAGTATGTAAAAATTTTTTACAAAACATAATAATTTTGTTTCGCCAAACTCACCTCGAACATATTTATTATTGGATAATTCGTAGGGTTTTCAGGAAGAGTTTGAGCGTGAATATTATCAGACTTTGAGTCGTAATATTGTGCTACTATATAATTATTGTGAGTAATAGTCTAAATAAGGTGACTGATGGTAAATTTAATCTGTACATTGAAAAAAAAATTCTTGACTGGAGGGTAAATTTTTTTGGCTCAAGAAAATATTAAAGAAGATTGAAAATTTTTTTAATGAAGTCAAAATTTTTTGAGCCAAGAAAATTTCTTCTTGCTCCAAAATAACTTTTGTTTTCCTTTAAATTTTCTTGGCTCAAAAAATTTGTTTTTTATGCGTGAGATACGAATTTATCATTTTAGAATTTTTTCTAACCATTGCCATTTATTGGTGGTCTTTCAAATTTATTTCTTCATTAAAAAGTTCTCTGATTAAATAACAAAAATTACAAAATTCCCAATGAAAATTAAGTTAGCCGACATTTAAAAATTTTTAAGATTTTTTTTCGTTAAAAAAATAATTAGCAAAAAATTTTAAAAAAAATTTCATTTGAAAAAAACTTTAAAAGCTGTAAGTGCAATTTTTTTTTAATATTTTTTTGTTCTAATTTAATTATTAAAAAAAAATCAAAAAATTAAAAACGTCGGCTAACTTTAGTATCATAAATTCCCAATATATTATTCAAAATTGACTAAAAAAAGTAATTGTACAATTGTTTTCATGAAGCATGACAATATTGCTTCAAAAATCATCTATATTATCTCTCAAAAATGTTTTTTTTTTTATTTTATGGCTAGATCTCTTTTAATTCTTTACCACTCTTAAAAATTAGAATAACCTTTTAAAGTTTATGTTTTTTCTAATGACAGAAAATTAATATAAAAAATGTTTTATTAAAAAAAAATTTGGCGCAATCCGTTGACAATACACTTAACTATTTTAAAAGGCTATGGAAAGTGCCTACTATTAACAATCTGTTTAATTAAGAAGACAACATTTTGATTGTTTAAATTTTATTAAATAAAATAAAATTAAATTAAATAAAATCGACAATTTCTTTATGAATGTGGTATAAATTGTTATTTACAAACTAATGTAATAGTATATGATCTAACTGAGTGATCTAACACTCAATTCCTACTTATATAAATGTAATTAATTAATGATACTAAAATTAGAAGGCATTTGACAATTTTTAGAAATTTTACAACCAATTAATTACTACAAAAACAATATTTTAAAAAATTCGCACTTATAATTTTTTACATGTGGAAATTTTTTTCATTATAATTTAATTATTATAAAAATTTAAAAACTTATTAGATGCCTGTGTTAAATTTAGTATCATAATTAATTAACATAATTAGGACAATATTTCGCATAATATCGTAATAAAAAAAATTTAATTAATAATTTGACACTGAAATTGACTATTATTACAAATTTTTTTATAATTTTATAGCAGTTAAATTATTACAAAAAAAAATTTAATAAAAAAATTATTAGTGAAAATTTTTTTTATTGTAATTGATTTGTTATAAAAATTTCAAAAATTGACATTTGTCGATTTGTTAATCACGATATTGTACAAAATATTTGCAAGGGTCCACTAGAATTATAAATAATCAGAATAAAAATTTATTGGTAACAAAAAGAAAAAACAGTCACCTGATTTAAACTACCAATCATGCATGGAATATTACCAATACAATAAAAAATTCCTTGATTAACCAATAACAAAATTTTGGTCTAAGATTCAAAAATGTCTACTACATTGGAACAGTTGCCGGTGTCATTGTTATTGGTAAAGGCTGTTGTACACACGACAGATGAATTGAAGGCCGTTTCACTGGAATTACACTTTAACTTTTTTTTTCCAGGTATCGCTGATGGCACAGTCGATGAAGATGTTGATGTTGCAGTAGCTGTTAATGGCAATGATCCTGAGGACTTTTGGTGAGTAAGTTTCGATCTCGATGTGCTGGGAAGTGATGTACCAGAAGTTGTCGCTACCTGTACCAGAGAATAAATTCTTTATTCATTTATCTATATTATTAAGAGAATAAGAAAAATTTTGTCTTTAGGATAACCAAGTTATTATGATAAGTATTTAGACTGCATTCGAAAATGCTCTATCTCTAGACACATAAGATATATGAACTTGTATCTTGTAAACTATTGACATTTTTAAAGATATAAGCTCACCCTAACATTACTCTCATCAAGACCTTTCATTTGAGTACCCACATCAATTTTTCATATATATTATATATTTATATATATTATATATATGTATATATATGAAAAATATATCAAAAATGCATGTGGGTACTCAAATTGAAGCTCTTGATGATTGTATCGTCGGAATGAGCTTATATCAATAAAAATATCAATAGTTAAGAAGTTACAGTGCAATTTAACAAATATCTTGTGAACTATTGACATTATTAAAGATATAAGCACACCCCGATATTACTCTCATCAAGACCTTTCATTTGAGTACCCACATCAATTTTTCATATATATTATATATTTATATATATTATATATATATGT